CCCTCAAAGAAATCCCCCCGGAAAAGTTCAATGTTACCGCCATCCCCAAGGGCTACCGCTCCCCGTGGCAAGAGCTCCTTGGTGACAAGGACAACGCTGTGCACGGCGAGAACCAGCAACCCATGAGACCCACTCTATGGGATTTCAAAAGCTTCAACAGGTAAACACTGGCCGAGGAGCAGGCACCACCAGCCTGTCCATCCCTTGGCCAAACCCTTCAGCCTCAAGAAGCACCTACCATCCTGCCAGGGAAACATGATGGTCCATACACCACAGGGAAGCAGCAAGGGCTCAGGTTGCTCCTTTCCTGTTCAGGAGCTCCTCGGTGGGTCCTCTGCAAAGGTCCCTGCCTCCAGCTCCTCCCCAGATCTCCACCACTGGCTTATGCAGCCTTAAGCAGTTTGATCTCACCAGGTAACCCCAGGAATGACATTTGGGAGGACTAATTCTCGTGCACATGGTCCTGGAGTAGGAATTGCTGCTCTTCCCAGCTGACTTCAGCTCTGGGCCAGGTGGAGGAATGGCAGAGACAGTGCCAAGTCCCTCTCCTAATTTCCTTAAGGTATCCAAGCAGCTGCTGGAAGCAGTGGGGGTATAAGGTTAATCTTCCCACAAGGTGCTAAGAGGTCACCAGATTCCTTCCAAACACTTGATCAAGATTGAAGTCTCAATTGGGCAATTTCTGGTGGTTCAGCCTGGCGAGCTCTGTGCCCTGTGGCTGCTTCCAACAGAGCCTGGCTGCTGTGCCTCCTTGCACCTCCAAATCACACTGGGGTCGAGGTTGGGACCCTGGAGCAGAGACTGACAAGGGAAATCTCCTTTCTGGAAAGACGCTCGGTGGGTATCCAGGACGTGGAGGTCTGGTGGTAGCAAAGTACCAGCAGCCCAAGGTAGAACGAGCTGAACTTTTAAGCTGAACATCCCAGCGAATCTGCAAACTCAGGTCCTGGCTCTCCTCCTCACTGAAATCCTCTTTGATGAGGATGAAAGTATGTTAGCCTCAGTGGCCTGGCCAAAGCCACCTTCCAGTAGGCAAGCTCCCACTGGAGCTCCCTACCAGGACACAGCACAGCTTTGCTGTGGGGCCCGGCGCGGTGCACAGCACAAGGCTGCTGCACGCTCAGCCCTCCTGAGTTTCCTCTTCTGCACCAGTAAAAGCATGGCAGTGCACTGGTTTGCACTGGAGTGGAGCTGGGGGAGATGAGGTTAACAGAAGGGACAAGAACCCAGGGCAGCCACAGGCAAGAGGGGAGAAGCAAAGGGGCTGCGTTAGCTACGTCCTCAGGGTCTCCTTCCCAGTCACTCAGCCATCCGGAGCTTTCCTGGAGCGGTAACATGCGAGGAGGTGCCGTAGGGGGAGAACAAGGAGCTGCTGCAGACACTTGGCTCTTTTCTTCCAACATTTAGCCATGTTCCTGCCTCAGTATTTATTTATGAACAGGGACTGAAGCAAGGGCATGTTTCTGAATAATGCTCTACCCCGTACCATTTCTCCCCTCTCACATGCTGTCTTTCTATTTAAAGTCTTGAACTGTTATTTAATACAGATGGATGCTAATTTAACACCAAGCCTCTCGCCACCTCCTCTAATTCTTCACTGAGGCATGAAGATTCAGAGAGCCAATCTGCTTTTAACTGGGCTTTTCATGATCTTCCAAGCTGTTGGCTTTCAAATCACTTCTCAGTTCACTAAATACCAAACTGCAGAAAAACAAGTTTTTTGGAACAAACCAGCTAGCGAGAGGCCAGTGGTCTTGCCTAAAGCTAGGTGAATCCCAGCACAGCTCACATGGGTCACGGGGCAAGGGCAAATTCACCACCTCAACAGCAATTGCATTAAAGCAGACTGATTTCTTCCCAACTTTAAACATTCAGGCTGTGATGCAAAGACCTTTGGCCACCTTGCTAAGGTGTGCTGCCTTAAGAGAGAGTGAAAACCAAGCTTTGAAAAGGACTGTCGCTTCCCAAAAGGGAGAAAGTTTCTGGAACAAACCTCTCATTTATCTTCTCCCCGCCTTATTTCTCCCTAGGACACTGTTGCAAAACAGTGCCACGTTACTCATGTTCGAGCAGCGCTTCCCAAAGCAAACATTGCCAGCTATGCCTCATTGATAGCTCAGCCTCCATGTGCTCCTTCCAAAACCAACATTCTTGGCTTTTTGGGGGCTGGCACTCTCTTCCCCGGTCCCTTTCCACATTTCTCCAGGAAGGGATGACAGCTCTTGCCCCCGCACTGCTCCTCCTGTTAGTCATAGTTCAAGAGAAGCTGTCCCAAAAGGCAGATTGGAGCCAGGGCCGGGAGAAAGACATTTGCCTGCACATGTGCTGGAGCAATCAGGAGGCAGCACTATCAGCCTCGGCCCTCTGCAGAACGCATTAGCTGCGGACCAGTCACTTTCTAAAGACCAGGAGGTTTGTCACCGTCACCTGCTCTCTTCATCTAACCCCTTTCATGAGCAAAATATCTCTACTGCTGTTGGTGGAGCCCCTCAAGAGACTACAGCAAAGGTAGCAACACGCTTCCTCCCTGCCCTGCGCAGCCCCTGCTGCTCAGGCACCAAACCCTACTCTGCAGGCCTGCCAAAGCTCGAGCTGAGGTTGGCTCTGTACAAGAGAAGCACCTCGCTGGGCTGGCAGAGACTCGAACGGTGTCCTGGGGAGGAAGAGGAGGGTTGTCATTTGCTACAGGTATTGCCGAGTTGCTGCTGGGCTCAGAGTAGTAAATCCAGACCTGCTTTTTCCACCACCTTTACAACATGCACAACATGACGTGCTAAATCCGCTTTTTCTTGTGCCGCAGGACCCCCACCCCATTTGACAGAGCACTGGTCAGCGACCTGTTCCCTGTGCCTGCCATGGAGCTGGAGAACCTGAGCGCTCTGGAGGTGATTTCCCACAGACGTAACTTCAACAGAGTGCCACAAGGGTGGGTGCGGATTCTACCAGAGAGCGACGAGCTGTAGGATGTGCATACCCTTCCCCATCGCCACGGCTGCTTTTCTCGCTAGTCTCAAATGTACTTCGCACGGTAGGGGAGAAGGGAATAAGTATTCTTCGTGAAAGCTAAGCTAGTGGTCTCGGGTCATCATCCTCTTCAACAGGATTTGAACAGCTCAAGTCTGGGACCATTCTGAATTCTCCTCGTACCAGCCATTATCACATGGGCATTTAGTGCTAAGCTAACGGCCAAGTTCTCATCGTTAATGCAAGCAGATCCCTGTAAGCTCCCGTACAAAACAGCCTGTCCTCTTCCCTGCCTCATGGAAAACGGCAGGACTGCCAACTGCAACACACCAAGCTGTCTCGCTGCTTCTTCACCGACACGCAAGACCTGCTCCAACAGCTGGTGCCTTTGCAGATAAATTCCACCTTCAGGACAACTCTGCATCTGTCATTCCGGTCGGGACAGAGAGAGGAGGAGGAGGTAGTTGAAGAACACCAGCAAAACAAGCTACCGGAGGCATCAGGATGTTAAAAGTAGTTACCTTGGGCTTGGCTGGAGAACAAAAACAAATGAGGAACCGGCCATCTGCCTGTTCACCAACACACGTACAGCGCAGCCGGGGTAGGTGGGATGGGAACACTGGGAGTTGGAAACTTGCGCCCCATTTTCCGCAAGCGACTGGCTAGCACTTGGCAGCTGATGTTTTCCCCTTCCTACCGCTATTTGCATGCCTTGCTTAAACATCTAAGCCCTTTGACTGACTTATGCCAGATTCACTTCATATAGTTGGTCCGTAAGGACCAGGCCCCGCCTGGACCAGCTGCACCCCAAAATTGCACCAGCCTGAAGATCCTGCCAGGGTGTTCTGGTTACTTCAACACCAGTGGGAAGGAAAAGCAGTGGAGCCATGGCTTGAGCAAGCGCAGGCTCCTCCGCGAATGTGAAAATCAGCAGGGAGGGTTCAACTGCACAAATGTTTTTAGCGGTGACACACAGTAGGACACGCAGCTAACAACAGTCTGTAGGACAGTCATCAGAACAGCTGGAAACCCCGCTAACAAAAAATCTCTAACTTAATACAGGCTATCTACAACTGCTTTTGTCAGGTTCTTAACATTACCCTTATTTAATCTTGCAAAAGCAGGAGCATCAGGATAAAAGTTTCTTTTTCCATCACCGTGGTTAAACCAGGCAAGTAAATTTTGTGGTAAAAACGCAGTTAACAGCTGCCTGACTTCTGAAGTGTATTTGCAATGCTGCGCAGCCAGATGTGCAGAGCAAATCCCGCACAGGGATTCTGCTGCCACAACACACCGTTCAGGCAGGAAACTGTCATTGCTCTGTTCTTCCCACAGAAGCAGGAGGGGACAAGGAAATAGAAAGAAAAAAGGTCTGTTCCTTAAACATTAAGAATTTATGATGCTCAACTGCTGTCCTGTTCCAAGCCCATCTCTCCTCCTTTGTCCATCAGCTGGAGAACCTGTGTACCCGGCTGGAAACAATAAATAAATTGCAATGATGTAAAGCCTGCTTGCGTTGGAGATCTGTCTGCACAGCGCTCGTGGGCCCTGACCACTGCGACTCAGAGCCAGAGCAGTGGCAAACGCTGCAGCCCTCCCCAATCCACCGGCAGACCTCTGCCTGTCCTCTGATGCTGCCCTGGGATGGCTCTTACCTAACAAAGGCTAAACTAATTACCTGTGCCCAAAGTCTAGCCCTTTCCCCAGAGAAAGCCACCCTGCCTGCCAGCCGTGCCCTGGCTATGCCACCCCCAACAGCCTGGCAGGGCTGGCAGCATCGGTGGGACCCCATGGCATGGCACAGGGACAGCACATGGAGCTCATATTGCACACACTGTCATTGCCTGCTCTGCATCTTGGCTTTGGCGGCAGCCAAATAAAAATCAAAGTCCTCAGACACTGAGCTTCAGGAAGCAAGGTCTAAGCAAAGCGTTGAAAAAAATCAAATATTTTAATGTTGTTGTTTTTAAAACAAGCAAATGAGGCTTCAGAACAGGTCCCATCAAGTTTCGCTTTACAGAAAGATGTCCACAGATCCATTACGTAAAATCAGCTGACACACAGATAAACTTAAAATCCTCCAGCCACACGTACATACATCTTATTCTATGGCAGGCTCCATGCAGGACACAGCTGCACCTGCACAAACACTCTAGTTGGAGCAAAGAAAAGTTTCATGTCTTATCAAAGCATCTCAGTTTAAGGAGACTGTATATCCACAGGCCTCGAAAGCCCCAATCGTGCTCCAAATATACCCAGGACAAGCTCGCAGCTGCACCGTGTCCTCCCCCTGCAGCTGTCGGCAACACAAGCCCGGCCTCCGGGGGCCACCAAAGGGGCCTTCGCCAGGCTAAAACAGGCAACTGCTAACCCGTCGCTCCACGTCATGCCTCCGCTACCCAGGGGCTGCTCGCATAACAGAATCACAGAGCGGTGGGGGTTGGAAGGGACCTCTGGAGATCATCCAACCTCCCTGCTAGAGCAGGCTCACCGAGAGCAGGTTGCACAGGATTGCATCCAGGCGGAGTTTGAATATCTCCAGAGAAGGAGACTCCAACCTCTCTGGTTAACACTTATCTTGCTCGGGACATGCATGATTACAAGCGATGCATCAAAAAAGGTTTTGTTTTGGTTTGTTTGTTTTAAAGAAAGACATCAGGAAAAAGGAGGGAGGAAAATTCTGTCACAATACTAAGACAAAGCCATGGGTTTGGTACATCTGACAAGCTTGTTTTTCAGCTCTTATCCAGTCCTGGTTTAATATCACATTAGAATAAGTCGTCCTTAATTACCTAACATAGAGAAGAGTCTCTGGTCACATTTAAATAGTCAATAGTGTTCAGACTGAGGATATCAATGGGCTTGAAAAAGGGTTTGGTTTTGTTTTTCCAGAAGTTTATTTCAAAAGTGTGCAAACAGGATACACGGATAGCACTGTAATTCTGGTACACCTGATCCACAGACCCCTGACAGCCCCTCTGTCTGCCCTCCGCCCCCCCCCAACACTAAATGAAAGATCTGAGACATATCAACAATCCAATTAGCTAGTGGAAACACGGAGCTCAGCTTGCCCAGTGTCTGCAAGCAGGGAAATAAGGCTTCTCTAGCTCACCCATAGCTCAACATATGGCGCTACCATGGTAACTAGAAAATAGCATTTACTTAATCGATGAGGGTGGCACGACATGCTAGGGGCTGCTGTGCTTTCCTGCGTGGGCACCCATCCTCTGGGGATCCTGAGACGGGTAGTGAATGGGGCCCGGGGCTCTCATGAAGGGAGGCGGTGGCCCCATCGCGTGGAACATGTGTGGTCCGAAACCTGCAGAAACAAAGTTGTCAGGTTCAAAGCAACAGCACAACCAATGCAGGCGTACCGCTGTTTGCAACAACCGACAGAGAACAGCTGGCTTACAGCTGTGCCTTAGAAAGGTGTGCATCTCCCACAATTCCTCAAATCCCCAAACTCTTGCCCCTCTTCCCAGCACAACCGGGGGCAATCCGTACCCAACACACACCCTCACTCACAGATAAAAGCTGGTGGGGGGACAGAACAGGTGCCTGTAATGCCAATCTGAATGCTTTCTACTCAACTGTGGAGCAAAGCAAACACATCCACAAGAGTCTGACGTCCCATTAAAAAAAATGGGTCTCGATAGATACATACTCGCAGCCAAACAGGCTGGCATTCAACCAGCTGTAGAATCACTCTTTGAAGTTGAGGTTAACATGGCATTTACACAGCCAGCAAAAGCATTGAGTAGGTCCCAGTACCAGTACCAGGGATCTCTCACATGCCTGAGAATTTGCAAGTGAACACATACCACATCAGGCAGCTCAGTTTAATTAAACTGTGCTGACAGCTCATTTTAGATCATCAGTTTACACTGTATGATCAGGCATGAGGAAAATCAACTCAGGGCACACATCAGTGCTACAGCGCAGCCAAGCAAGGAGGACTAGATGGTCAAACACTAAGTTAGATATCCCCACTTGAAGGGGAAACACAAATACCTGGAGGTGGTGGTGGAGCAATGCCCGGAGGAGGTGGCAAGGCAATGTTAACCACCGCTGGAGGGCCACTTGGAGGTAGGTTGAAGTAATTTGCAGAAGCCTCTTCTTCTGCAGCTGGAGGAGGGGGGAGAGCTGCCAAAAAAGTACACGGTGGTTATGGAAAATCTCTCCGTCAAGATATGCAGAGGTACCTGCCTTCAGAGAGGAGGTACAATCAGTTCTTCCACAAGGGCAAACTGCCACTACTACTGCACGTGTGAGCCGGAGTGAGAAGCAGGACTGCACTGAAACTCTGCAACAGTCACCACTTTTCTTCACCTGAAAACAGCTTTGCTTTTTCCATCATACAACACTCAGTGGATTAGGAAAACATTAACCAAGCTTTGAAAAGCGTGGGTTGCCAGTATCTTGGACCTAAGTAACTTTAAATCAGCTTTAAGTTTTCACTCATCACATGAAGGAAATTCTTGGTGAAAAGAAAGTTCTTTTAGACAAAGCTCGCTTCCCATCCTAGTTGGAAACACTGCAAAATTACTGTGACCGCCTGCCCTGGACTCGCCAGTGCCTCTACCCTCCGGAACTCCATTACTGCTCTCGGAGGTTTAACACCAGCCTCAATCATGGAAGCAGGTCAGCGTTAAGTGTTTCAGAGATAAAGACAAGTCCCTCACCTCCGGGAAGTCCTGGAACTGGCTCCAGCTTTATCCCAGATTCTGTAGTACCTTCCTTGTCCTTTTCTTTTCCTCTTGCTGCCTGGGACCTAAAAGCAAATATTTTAGGGCAAGGATGAGGAAAAGCAGGATAAGCAGATATTCACACCACAGTAGTTTTACATTATCTAATCTAGATCCATTGCTTCAGGCCAAAAATGAAAAATTCACAGAATATCAGAGACAGCTGGTACAAAGCGTGCAAACAGTGTTTACAATGGTCACATTAGAAGCAAAACTACAGAAACTGATCCATAACCCTCAAGCAGGAACCCTCT